AGTACACAGAACATGAAAATACAATTGTTTTAGTAAATATAAACTGCTAAATCCCTTTTCTCATCAGCAGTTAGAGCAGTCTTGTGACTCCTATCAGTCTCCAGCAGAGCACTGGTTAATCTTGTAGGAGGAGTTTTCATTCTGCTGTAGGAGGATGCAGGACCCCTGACCTCTGTCTGGATAGTGCTGATTGGCCCTGTGCTGATTGGCCCTGTGCACTCTCCCAAGAAAAAAACAAAATCTCTTTTGTTATACACACCAAACTGAGCATGTGCAGAGTGTCTCCACATGACATGTCAGGAGATAAGGGGGAGCACTGGAAGAAGTGGAGGATTAGAGAAGTCAGGATCAAACAACCTTTTTACACAAGCAGAGGATTAACCTCTTGGGTCCCACAGTGAGTATAACAAGCATGCTTTACTGCATCTACAGACTGATTGTACTGTTGGGGGTTTAGTAACACTGTAAAAAAAAAAATCAATAAAAACTATATAATACAAAAAATCCTGTAAAACGGTAATATAAACCTCCATCCAGTGTGTACATTCTCATGGGTTTGATTCAGTTAAGCAAATGAAATGTAGAATTATTTTTCCCTTTTCACATTAGGGGAGTTTTGGAATTTTATGGTCTAATTCAAAAAGGATTTAATGGAAAAAGCTAATTTTTGTAAAATGTACCTATAAAAAGGGCAGCACAGTGGCAAGATCTCTAGCAATACACACCAAACTGAGCATGTGCAGCTTTCCCCCAGGCACTATTCTATCAGCAGATGGATTGGGGACAGTAGAAGAAGGGGAGGATCAGAGAGAAGACAGGATCAAACAGCCTTTTTACACCATGCGGAGAATTAACCCCTTAGGTTCCACAGTGAGTATAACAAGCATGCTTTACTGCATGCTTACTAAAAAGGTTGCAAGTGGTTGGGGTTCCTCCTGCCAGTTGCTGCCTCACTACAGGACACGATGATAAATAGCGGCCGAGCCACTGAAAGCAGTGGGGGGGGGGGGGGGGGGGGACCAGGCATCTGACACACCAAGAAGTGGCAGATACTGAGGATTCTTCAAGCAGCAATGCAGTGCAGATCAACAGCTCATGAAAGAGAAGTATGACCTCCCTTCTTTGCAGGGTCTATGTTACTCCAACATTTCATAGTCCTGATATGTGTCTATCGTACAATGAACTTTTATTAAAAAGTAAAAAGTATTCTGTTCTCTTTGTATTGCTTCCTTTGTGTGAAGTGCCTGGAGTTCTTGCCAGTCCCCCTGCTTTCCTATGCCAAACTGACCATGCTAGGCACGGGAGCTTATCCTTCCCAGAGTGGTCAGTTTCCTGGCTGTGCTGGGAGCCCAGCCTGCCTGTCCTCCAACAGTGCCTCCTCTGCCCAGCCATTCACAAGGAAGTTCAGTGTGCTGAAGAATCAGATCCCCTTGATAAAGTCACGTGATCGGTGACAAAATGCGTCGAGGAGGAGCGTGCGGATGACGTCACGGCGTTTCCATTGATCGAAACAGCGGTATACTGATCCACACACCGCTCCAGGATCATCGTTATAGTAAGTCAATCGCATTCTTCATAGAGGGCCCGTGCTTTGCCTTTCATTACACACAATTTGGAGCCTGTATTGGGTTGGCTGGTCTATGCTGCTGGAGACCATACTGCCATCTTGTGCCTTAAGAAGTACTTTGCTGGATGTTCACCATACGTGGTGCTGGATGTTCACCATACGTGGTGCTGGATGTTCACCATACCTGGTGCTGGATGTTCACCATACCTGGTGCTGGATGTTCACCATACGTGGTGCTGGATGTTCACCATACGTGGTGCTGGATGTTCACCATACCTGGTGCTGGATGTTCACCATACCTGGTGCTGGATGTTCACCATACGTGGTGCTGGATGTTCACCATACGTGGTGCTGGATGTTCACCATACGTGGTGCTGGATGTTCACCATACGTGGTGCTGGATGTTCACCATACGTGGTGCTGGATGTTCACCATACGTGGTGCGGATGTGAGCGCATTTCTTATGCTTCATTGTGCAATAAAAGATTTAAAGGATAAATCACTATGCTGAGCTTTTGTTTATGAGGAATTACGGCTGACCCTGAGGTGGTTATCTGGAGGGGGCATCCTTGAAGTTAATCTTCAGCAAGTTGAACTTCAGAGTCCAGTACGTTTGGAACCAGGGGTGGACTGACAACTCATGGGGCCTCCGGGCAATAGGGGATCATGGGGCCCCTGTATCCTTGCCCAAACTCAAAAAAGCCTATGAAAAAGGTACCAGGGGCATCTCATGGGGCCCCCTACTAACCCCGGGCCCTCGGGCAGTGCCTGAGTTTCCAAATGGTCAGTCCGCCCCTGTTTGGGACCAACAGTGCAGTCACACCAAATCATTGTATTGTGTGAGGTCCAGGGGCGGACTGACAACTCATGGGGCCCCCGGGCAATAGGGGATCATGGGGCCCCTGTGTCCTTGCCCAAACTCAAAAAACCCTATAAAAAAGGTACCAGGGGCATCTCATGGGGCCCCCTACTAACCAAGGGGCCCTCGGGCAGTGCCCGAGTTTCAAAATGGTCAGTCCGCCCCTGGTGAAGTCACACTGCTGGAGGTGATCAGATTTATGGTGGAGGAGAGTTTGCACTTGAATCCTGTGATAGCTGCACTTGGTGGTCGTTATCTCAAGGAGGGTCCACAGCAGAACACCAATTGATTGGACGTTGGTTTATATAATAATAATTTTTTTTGAGTCACTATTTCTTCTTTTTTAGTTCACTGTCCTGTGTTTTTGGTTGGGTTATATCCTGTAGGGATTGTGCATTTATTGATAACGTAGCGCAGCACTTTTTTTACACTTACATAAGTTCAGTGTGCTGCTCTTTCTCTGCCTGCTGCTGATCCTCCCCCCCCCCCCCTTCAAGCTCCACCCCCACCTGTTCAAGCTCTTTCTGCAGCTGAGAACAGAGATAATGTGATTACTTATAAAGAAACAAAAACATTTTTTATATTTTTTATTACATATTATTTATTATTATTATAAATATTTTTTAACTATATACACTAATGTTTTGCCTTATTTTACTGCTGTTTTACAAGGTGAGGGTTTACATATACAGGTTTACGAATGTAATGCCTTCTCCGGGACGTTTCATATTGCAAAAAATTTGTAAACTGAAATGCGGTTTCCCATAGGAATGCATTGAAAACCAATTAATCTGTTCTGGAGGTCAGAAAAAAGTTTAAAAAGTTGCTGTCACTTACAATTACCGGCTTTTTTTTTCTTCACTATAGCTCAGAGAATCAGCTGTCACTTTCTCCAAGATAAAGAAAAGTTTCATTTTAGTTTATTTCCAGAGTTAAAAGAAACAACGCTTCCTTTTAGTTTATTTCCGGAGTTAAAAGAAACAATGTTTCCTTTTAGTTTATTTCCGGAGTTTAAAAGAAACAATGTTTCCTTTTAGTTTATTTCCAGAGTTAAAAGAAACAAGCAATGTTAAAAGAAACAATTTCCTTTTTAGTTTATTTTTCCGGAGTAAAATAAACAATTTCCTTTTAGTTTATTTCCAGAGTTAAAAGAAGCAATGTTTCCTTTTAGTTTATTTTTAAAAGAAGCAATGTTTATTTCCAGAGTTAAAAGAAACAATGTTTCCTTTTAGTTTATTTCCAGAGTTAAAAGAAGCAATGTTTCCTTTTAGTTTATTTCCGGAGTTAAAAGAAACAATGTTTCCTTTTAGTTTATTTCCAAAGTTAAAAGAAACAATTAGAGATGAGCGAATCGAAGTAGCCGAAGTGGAATTCGAGTCGAATATCGGAAAAATTTCGATTCGCGCCGAATCCGAAAAATAGCCTAATTCGGACGCGCGAATCGAAATTTTTCCTAAAATGGCGGCTGACATGTGCGGCGACGGAGCGGGGATGTCTGGGAAGGCGCGCAGACAAGGCGCGCTGACCCATAATGCATTCCTCAACGACATGTGATCGCATCAGCCAATCAGCAGTCAGCCAGCTAGCACTGTGTAATGGTCGAGCTATAAATAGCGGCCATTTTGGAATTCTTCATTTGCCTGCAGTCATTGAACAGAGGCAGACCGCTCTGTATTAGGGACAGAGTTAGGGCCACAGAAACGTTACTTGGGGACAGAGAAACGTTACTTAGGGACAGAGAACTATTACTCAGGGACACAGAATTGTTAATGAGGGCCACAGAATCGTTACTTAGGGACAAAGAAACGCTAGTTAGGGCCACAGAATTCATACTCAGGGACAGACAGAATTGTTACTGAGTGCCAGAGAATTGTTACTTAGGGCCACAGAAACGTTATTAGGGCCACAGAATTGTTACTCAGGGACAGACAGAATTGTTACTGAGTGCCAGAGAATTGTTACTTAGGGCCACAGAAACTTTAGTTAGGGCCACAGAATTGTTACTCAGGGACAGACACAGAATTGTTACTGAGGGCCACAGAACTGTTACTTAGGGCCACAGAATTGTTAGGGCCACAGAATTGTTACGCGCACAGACACAGAATTTGTTACTCGCACAGACACAGAATTGTTACTGAGGGCCACAGAACTGTTACTTAGGGCCACAGAATTGTTACTCGCACAGACACAGAATTGTTTACACAGGGACACAGAATTGTTACTGAGGGCCACAGAATTGTTACTTAGGGCCACAGAATTGTTACTCAGGCACAGACACAGAATTGTTACTGAGGGCCACAGAACTGTTACTTAGGGCCACAGAATTGTTACTCGCACAGACACAGAATTGTTACTCGCAGGGACACAGAATTGTTACTGAGGGCCACAGAACTGTTACTTAGGGCCACAGAATTGTTACTCGCACAGACACAGAATTGTTACTCAGGGACAGACACAGAATTGTTACTGAGGCCACAGAATTGTTACTTAGGGCCACAGAAACTTTGTTAGTTAGGGCCACAGAATTGTTACTCAGGGACAGACACAGAATTGTTACTGAGGGCCACAGAACTGTTACTTAGGGCCACAGAATTGTTACTCGCACAGACACAGAATTGTTACTCGCACAGACACAGAATTGTTACTGAGGGCCACAGAATGTGTTACTTGAGGGCCACAGAATTGTTACTTAGGGCCACAGAATTGTTACTCGCACAGACACAGAATTGTTACTCGCAGGGACACAGAATTGTTACTGAGGGCCACAGAACTGTTACTTAGGGCCACAGAATTGTTACTCGCACAGACACAGAATTGTTTACGCAGGGACACAGAATTGTTACTCAGGCACAGACACAGAACTGTTACTGAGGGCCACAGAACTGTTACTTAGGGCCACAGAATTGTTACTCGCACAGACACAGAATTGTTACTCAGAACACAGACACAGAATTGTTACTCGCACAGACACAGAATTGTTACACAGGGACACAGAATTGTTACTGAGGGCCACAGAACGTTACTTAGGGCCACAGAATTGTTACTGAGGGCCACAGAACTGTTACTTAGGGCCACAGAATTGTTACTCGCACAGACACAGAATTGTTACTCGCAGGGACACAGAATTGTTACTGAGGGCCACAGAACTGTTACTTAGGGCCACAGAATTGTTACTCGCACAGACACAGAATTGTTACTCGCACAGACACAGAATTGTTACTGAGGGCCACAGAATTGTTACTTAGGGCCACAGAATTGTTAATCAGGGACACAGAATTGTTACTGAGGGCCACACAGAATTGTTACTGGGGCCACAGAAACGTTAATCAGGGACACAGAATTGTTACTGAGGGCCACAGAATTGTTACTTAGGGCCACAGAAATTGTTACTCAGGGACACAGAATTGTTACTGAGGGCCACAGAACTGTTACTTAGGGCCACAGAATTGTTACTCGCAGGACACAGAATTGTTACTCGCACAGACACAGAATTGTTACTAGGGACACAGAATTGTTACTCAGGGCACAGACGAGTTACTGAAGGCCACAGAACTGTTACTTAGGGCCACAGAATTGTTATTGGCACAGACACAGAATTGTTACTCAGGGACACAGAATTGTTACTGAGGGCCACAGAACTGTTACTTAGGGCCACAGAATTGTTACTCGCACAGACACAGAATTGGGGACACAGAATTGTTACTGAGGGCCACAGAACTGTTACTGAGGGCCACAGAATTGTTACTCGCACAGACACAGAATTGTTACTCAGGGACACAGAATTGTTACTGAGGGCCACAGAACTGTTACTGAGGGCCACAGAATTGTTACTACGCAGGGACACAGAATTGTTACTGAGGGCCACAGAATTGTTACTAGGGCCACAGAATTGTTACTCGCAGGGACACAGAATTGTTACTGAGGGCCACAGAAACTGTTACTTAGGGCCACAGAATTGGGCAGGGACACAGAATTGTTACTGAGGGCCACAGAACTGTTACTTAGGGCCACAGAAATTTAGGGCCACAGTTACACAGAATTGTTACTCGCACACAGACACAGAATTGTTACTGAGGGCCACAGAACTGTTACTACTTAGGGCCACAGAATTGTTTACTCGCACAGACACAGAATTGTTACTCGCACAGACACAGAATTGTTACTGAGGGCCACAGAATTGTTACTTAGGGCCACAGAATTGTTACTCAGGGACACAGAATTGTTACTGAGGGCAGACACAGAATTGTTACTTCAGGGCCACAGAATTGTTACTGAGGGACACAGAATTGTTACTGAGGGCCACAGAATTGTTACTGAGGGCCACAGAATTGTTACTCAGGGCCACAGAATTGTTACTGAGGGCCACAGAATTGTTACTTAGGGCCACAGAATTGTTACTAGGGACACAGAATTGTTACTCAGGGACACAGAATTGTTACTCAGGGCCACAGAACTGTTACTGAGGGCCACAGAATTGTTACTTAGGGCCACAGAATTGTTACTCAGGGGGACACAGAATTGTTACTCAGGGACACAGAATTGTTACTGAGGGCCACAGAACTGTTACTTAGGGCCACAGAAATTGTTACTCAGGGACACAGAATTGTTACTGAGGGCCACAGAACTGTTACTACTTAGGGCCACAGAATTGTTACTCGCACAGACACAGAATTGTTACTCGCAGGGACACAGAATTGTTACTGAGGGCCACAGAACTGTTACTTAGGGCCACAGAATTGTTACTAGGGCCACACATTGAGACACAGAATTGTTACTCAGGGGGACACAGAATTGTTACTGAGGGCCACAGAACTGTTACTTAGGGCCACAGAATTGTTACTCAGGCACAGACACAGAATTGTTACTCAGCCACAGAACTGTTACTGAGGGCCACAGAACTGTTACTTAGGGCCACAGAATTGTTACTCGCACAGACACAGAATTGTTACTACACAGGGACACAGAATTGTTACTGAGGGGCCACAGAACTGTTACTTAGGGCCACAGAATTGTTAATCAGGGACACAGAATTGTTACTGAGGGCCACAGAATTGTTACTTAGGGCCACAGAATTGTTACTCAGGGCCACAGACACAGAATTGTTACTGCACAGGGACACAGAATTGTTACTGAGGGCCACAGAACTGTTTACTTAGGGCACACAGAATTGTTTAATCAGGGACACAGAATTGTTACTGAGGGCCACAGAACTGTTACTTAGGGCCACAGAATTGTTACTCAGCACAGACACAGAATTGTTACTGAGGGCCACAGAACTGTTACTTAGGGCCACAGAATTGTTACTGAGGGCACAGACACAGAATTGTTACAGGGACACAGAATTGTTACTGAGGGCCACAGAACTGTTACTTACTTAGGCCACAGAATTGTTACTCGGACAGACACAGAATTGTTACTCAGGGACACAGAATTGTTACTCAGGGACACATAATCGTTGAATTAAAGAGTATGTCAGACAACATGCAGAGGAGTGGCAGAGGAGGCAATGTTTTAGGAGCGAGCAGACGTGGCAGCAGAGGAAGGGGTCGAGGCAGCACTATTCGCAGCCAGAGGCCAGTGCTCCCGGTGTCATCCAGCGGTCGTGTCTCCACCGACAACCCTGCCGTCATCGATTGGTTGGCTCGGTCGTCTTCCTCTTCCCAGGTCACACCTCTGACACCTACAGCCACGGTCGGTGGGTACGTCAGACACAACCGTTAGTTGGCATGGCCCGGGAGCAAGCCCACTGAAATCACATGTCCTCTACCTGCCCCTGTCCTTTGCTGTTCCCTCACCAAGCGAAGTATCGCATGCTGTGGGCTCAGCCCCACTGTACAGTGAGGAAGAGCTAACAGAGGGCGGTCAGGAACGGGGGGAGACATCCGCCTTTTCAGCAGCCAGGCGAAGAAGTACTGGCGAGGAGAGTGGCTCGGTAGCCGGTCTAGAGACAGGTCTGTCTCCTGACCCAGACGCAGCCGAGGGGGCTAGTAGTGAGGCGGAGACCGTACTTGATGATGAGGAGGTTGATCGCACTTGGCTGCCCTCGTCGTCATCAGGCAATTTCTTCCGCATCATCAGGAGAAGAGGGTGCCAGCTTGGCAGCGAGCGAAACAGTCGGTGGGTTGCCCAGGAGGCAGCAGGGTCGCATCAGTGTCAGTGGAGCCAAACGTCCACGGAGTAGAGCACCAGCTCCCTGCAGCCTACCACCACGGCCAGTAGTGGTGCCGGTGCGCACGGAGGAAGTAGCAGTCAGCCAGTGAGGAGTAGCGGGGGCAAAGTTTCCTACTCGGTGGTGTGGCAATTTTTCGTCAAGCCGCCCGAGGAAGTAAACGTAGCCGTATGTCGACTATGTGGCCAGAAATGCAAGCGTGGCCAGGGGGCCCATGTTGGGACTACAGCGTTGCGTCAGCATATGCAGCGTCACCATTCGGTGGCCTGGGAAAAAAACCGTGATAAAGATACGGCGGTTCTGCCTGCCCCAGCCCCCCCCGCTCCATCACCCGCTCCGTTACTTGCTCCGTCACCCGACGTCGTCAATCACCCTCTATCAGCCAGTCAAGGCTCCAACACCTCTGCTGAGGGGAGTTGTCGCTCGTTGGCATCTTCCGCTCGTTCAGATGCTCCTTCTCCTGCTACTCCTCTTCTCGGATTCCGTCAACAGTCTTTCTTGGAATCCGTTTCCAAGAGACAACACAGTTTCGAGCAGCACGCACCCGACGGTGCAAAAGCTGAACGTCCTCCTGTCCAAGTTGCTGGTGCTGCAGTCCCTCCCTTTCCAACTGGTGGACTCAGCACCTTTCCGAGAAATGATGGCTTGTGCCGCGCCGCGGTGGAGAGTGCCAAGCCGTCATTTCTTCGCCAAAAGGCAGTGCCAGCCCTGCATTCACATGTAGAAGAGATGGTGGGCCAGTCTTTGAGCATGTCGGTCTCTGCCAAAGTGCACGGCAGCGCCGACGTGTGGAGCTGTAACTACGGTCAGGGACAGTATATGTCATTTACGGCCCACTGGGTGAACGTGGTGCCGGCACAGCCGCACCAGCAACTTGGACAGGTCACGACGCTTTTGCCTCCACGTTTGCACGTCCTTGGTCCAGCAAACATGTCCGCCTCTACCACCTCTTTTTCCGCCGTGTCCTCAGCCGCCACCCCCGTGCCAAGTCCCATTACCCGACCGGCATATCACATGTGCAGCGCAACGGTGTCACGCTGTGCTGCACCTGGTATGCCTTGGCGAACGTAGTCACACAGGGGAGGAACTTCTGAGTGTAATGAACAGAGAAATCGACAGATGGCTGTCTCCGCGCAAACTGAAAATCGGAACCATGTTGACCGACAACGGAAAGAACATGGTGTCTGCTCTGCGTCAAGGAAGGTTGTGCCATGCGCCATGCATGGCTCACGTGTTCAATCTGGTTGTCAAGCGGTTCCTAAAATCCACCATCCCACTGCAAGACATCCTTAAAATGTCACGTAAAACTGTGCATGCATTTCAGCCATTCCTACACCGCAAAGAACACCCTCATTGAGCTGCAGCGGCAGAACGGAATTCCACAGCATCGCCTGATCTGCGACGTTGCAACAAGGTGGAATTCAACCCTACACATGTTAGACCGCCTTTACGAGCAGCGAAAGGCCATCACCGATTTCCTGATGTTACAAGCGGATAAAGGTACTCCCCTGTGTAACTTCGATGTCAGCCATTGGCAGCTCATGCGTGACACCTGCCGCTTGCTCAGGCCCTTTGAGGAGGCCACGCTATTCGTGAGTCGGCAGGACTATGGGATGAACGACGTCATTCCTCTGTTGCACGTCCTGGAACAAATGCTGTTAACAATGGCTGGTCAGGGTGCGGTAGACGTGGCGCACAGATCTCAACGCCACATGACCCCTGTGGGGCCAGGACAGGAAGAAGAGGAGGAGGTAGAGGAGGACATTTGTGCTCAGGAATTATTGAGTGAAATGGGTGGTTTTTCCACTCAGCGGACAGGAGTGGAGGAGCAGGAGCATCTGGTAGAGGAGGAGGAGGAGGAGACAGAGGACCCAGACGCACCGTGGCAGTATGCTGTGGAGATGGAGGCAGGGAGTCCCTCGCATTCCTTGGCACAAATGGCCCATAGCATGCTCGGTTGCTTGCGTAGCGACAGCCGAATAATAACCATCAGACAGAGGGATGACTTGGCTGTCCACCTTGTTGGACCCTCGCTATCGTTCCAAAATGGTGGCCTTTTTCACACCTGCTGAGAGGGAGGCCAAAAAATTACGTACTATAAAAAACCACCTATGTAGTCAGTTGGTCTCTGCCTTTGTGCGCCAACGTCCATCCTCAGACACTGTGGGCCCTGTGCGCTCGCGCGTTCCGCTGCCATGGCAGCAGGGGAGGGGGGGTGGGGTGGTAGGAGCAGTGGCAGCTCCACCAGCAGCGGCTGCCTCAGTCTGCAGTCGATGATGAGTAGCTTTTTCTTCACCAGCGCAGTGAGGAAACTACTAACCAGCCGCAGCAGCAGCAGCAGCAGCATCAGGTGGACCTGGAGCAGGAGCTCAAACAACAGGCTTGGGCCTACTTGGACAGCACCCTGCCAACCGAGGTAGACAATCCCCTTGACTACTGGGCAACGAAACTTGACCTTTGGCCCCAACTAGCTGAATTTGCCCTTGAAAGGCTGTCATGCCCGGCCAGTAGCGTGCGGATCGGAGCGCGTGTTTAGTGCGGCAGGAGGTATTGTAACTCCGCGGAGGACACGACTGTCCACCCAAAGTGTGGAGAGACTCACGTTTGTGAAAATGAATCAGGCGTGGATTAGTCTGGATTTCAAACCACCAGTTCCTGACACAACTGACTAAATCCGCCATGAATCATGCCCCTGCCATGTGCCACTTTCAGGTCTCCTCACACACACACTGTGTGTGTCCATTTTTTGTCATAGGGTGCTGGCAGATTACGGGCCTCCCATTGCTGCTGTCTCCATCGCCACACTCTGCCATGTGCCACTTTCAGGTCTCCTTCACACTGCTGGTGTGTTGAATTTTTTGACATAGGGTGCTGGCAGATTACGGGCCTCCCATAGCTGCTGCCAGGCCCCTAATCTGCCATGGGCCCCCCTATATACCGCCCCTCCTCATGCTGCTGCCAAGTCCAGAGTCTCTCATGGGTCCCTGTACGGCCTCCCATTGCTGCTGTCTCCATCGCCACACTCTGCCATGTGCCACTTTCAGGTCTCTTCACACTGCCTGGTGTGTTGAATTTTTTGACATAGGGTGCTGGCAGATTACGGGCCTCCCATAGCTGCTGCCAGGCCCCTAATCTGCCATGGGCCCCTATATACCGCCTCCTCATGCTGCTGCCAAGTCCAGAGTCTCTCATGGGTCCCTGTACGGCCTCCCATTGCTGCTGTCTCCATCGCCACACTCTGCCATGTGCCACTTTCAGGTCTCTCACACACTGCTGGTGTGTTGAATTTTTTGACATAGGGTGCTGGCAGATTACGGGCCTCCCATAGCTGCTGCCAGGCCCCTAATCTGCCATGGGCCCCTATATACCGCCTCCTCATGCTGCTGCCAAGTCCAGAGTCTCTCATGGGTCCCTGTACGGCCTCCCATTGCTGCTGTCTCCATCGCCACACTCTGCCATGTGCCACTTTCAGGTCTCTCACACACTGCTGGTGTGTTGAATTTTTTGACATAGGGTGCTGGCAGATTACGGGCCTCCCATAGCTGCTGCCAGGCCCCTAATCTGCCATGGCCCCTATATACCGCCTCCTCATGCTGCTGCCAAGTCCAGAGTCTCTCATGGGTCCCTGTACGGCCTCCCATTGCTGCTGTCTCCATCGCCACACTCTCTGCCATGTGCCACACTTTCAGGTCTCTTCACACACTGCTGGTGTGTTGAATTTTTTGACATAGGGTGCTGGCAGATTACGGGCCTCCCATAGCTGCTGCCAGGCCCCTAATCTGCCATGGGCCCCCGTACCGCCCCTCCATGCTGCTGCTGCAAGTCCCAGTGTCTCATGGGTCCCTGTACGGCCTCCCATTGCTGCTGTCTCCATCGCCACACTCTGCCATGTGCCACTTTCAGGTCTCCTCACACTCCTGCGGTGGTGTGTTGAATTTTTTTGACATAGGGTGCTGGCAGATTACGGGCCTCCATAGGTGCTGCCAGGCCCCTAATCGGCCATGGGCCCCTGTACCGCCTGCCTCCTCATGCTGCTGCCTGGCCCACAGTGTGACCTGGGTCCCTGTACGGCCCTCCCATTGCTGCTGTCTCCATTCCCACACTCATGTGCCACTTTGAGGTCTCCTCACACACTCCTGGTGTGTTGAATTTTTTGTCATAGGTTGCTGGCAGATTACGGGCCTCCCATAGGTGCCGCCAGGCCCCAATCGGCCATGGGCCCCCGTACCGCCTGGTCACGCTGCTGCTGAGCCCACAGTGTGACCTGGGTCCCTGTACGGCCTCCCATTGCTGCTGTCTCCTCGCCTCCCCACTCTGCCATGTGCCACTTTGAAATCTCCTCACACTCCTGCGGTTGTCCATTTTGTCATAGGTTGCTGGCAGATTACAGGCCTTCCATAGGTGCCGCCAGGCCCCAAATCGGCCATGGGCCCCCGTACCGCCTGGTCACGCTGCTGCTGAGCCCACAGTGTGACCTGGGTCCCTGTACGGCCTCCCATTCTCCACTCTGCCATGTGCCACTTTGAGGTCTCCTCACACTCCTGCGGTTTTCCATTTTGTCATAGGTTGCTGGCAGATTACAGGCCTCCCATAGGTGCCGCCAGGCCCCATATCGGCCATGGGCCCCGTACCGCCTGGTCACTGCTGCTGCTGGTCCCACAGTGTGACCTGGGTCCCTGTACGGCCTCCCATTGCTTCCACTCTGCCATGTGCCACTTTGAGGTCTCCTCACACACTCCTGCGGTTTTCCATTTTGTCATAGGTTGCTGGCAGATTAGCGGCCTTCCATAGGTGCCGCCAGGCCCCATATCGGCCATGGGCCCCCCCGTACCGCCTGGTCACGCTGCTGCTGGTCCCACAGTGTGACCTGGGTCCCTGTACGGCCTCCCATTGCTTCCACTCTGCCATGTGCCACTTTGAGGTCTCCTCACACTCCTGCGGTTTTCCATTTTTTGTCATAGGTTGCTGGCAGATTTACAGGCCTTCCATAGGTGCCGCCAGGCCCCATATCGGCCATGGGCCCCCGTACCGCCTGGTCACGCTGCTGCTGAGCCCACAGTGTGACCTGGGTCCCTGTACGGCCTCCCATTGCTTCCACTCTGCCATGTGCCACTTTGAGGTCTCCTCACACTCCTGCGGTTTTCCATTTTGTCATAGGTTGCTGGCAGATTACAGGCCTTCCATAGGTGCCGCCAGGCCCCAAATCGGCCATGGGCCCCCGTACCGCCTGGTCACGCTGCTGCTGGTCCCACAGTGTGACCTGGGTCCCTGTACGGCCTCCCATTGCTTCCACTCTGCCATGTGCCACTTTGAAATCTCCTCACACTCCTGCGGTTTTCCATTTTGTCATAGGTTGCTGGCAGATTACAGGCCTTCCATAGGTGCCGCCAGGCCCCAAATCGGCCATGGGCCCCCGTACCGCCTGGTCACGCTGCTGCTGGGCCCACAGTGTGACCTGGGTCCCTGTACGGCCTCCCATTGCTGCTGCCAGGAGGCAGCAGGGTCGCAGCTGTGTCAGTGGAGGCAAACGGCCACGGAGTAGAGCAGCAGCTCCACTGCAGCCTACCACCACAGCCAGTAGTGGTGCCGGTGTGCACGGAGGAAGTAGCAGTCAGCCAGTGAGAGTAGCGGGTGCAAAGTTTTTCCTACTCGGCGGTGTGGCAAGTTTTCGTCAAGCCGCCCGAGGAAGTAAACGTAGCCTAATGTCGACTATGTGGCCAGAAAGTCAAGCGTGGCCAGGGGGCCCATGTTGGGACTACAGCGTTGCGTCAGCATATGCAGCGTCGCCATTCGGTGGCCTGGGAAAAACGTGATAAAGATACGGCGGTTCTGCCTGCCCCAGCCCAGGGTTCCATTTTGTCATAGGGTGCTGGCAGATTACGGGCCTCCCATAGGTGCCGCCAGGCCCCAAATCGGCCATGGGCCCCCGTACCGCCTGGTCACGCTGCTGCTGGCCCACAGTGTGACCTGGGTCCCTGTACGGCCTCCCATTGCTTCCACTCTGCCATGTGCCACTTTGAGGTCTCCTCACACTCCTGCGGTTTTCCATTTTGTCATAGGTTGCTGGCAGATTACAGGCCTTCCATAGGTGCCGCCAGGCCCCAAATCGGCCATGGGCCCCGTACCGCCTGGTCACGCTGCTGCTGGTCCCACAGTGTGACCTGGGTCCCTGTACGGCCTCCCATTGCTTCCACTCTGCCATGTGCCACTTTGAGGTCTCCTCACACTCCTGCGGTTTTCCATTTTGTCATAGGTTGCTGGCAGATTAGCGGCCTTCCATAGGTGCCGCCAGGCCCCATATCGGCCATGGGCCCCCGTACCGCCTGGTCACTGCTGCTGCTGAGCCCACAGTGTGACCTGGGTCCCTGTACGGCCTCCCATTGCTTCCACTCTGCCATGTGCCACTTTGAGGTCTCCTCACACTCCTGCGGTTTTCCATTTTGTCATAGGTTGCTGGCAGATTACAGGCCTTCCATAGGTGCCGCCAGGCCCCAAATCGGCCATGGGCCCCCGTACCGCCTGGTCACGCTGCTGCTGGTCCCACAGTGTGACCTGGGTCCCTGTACGGCCTCCCATTGCTCCCACTCTGCCAACTGCTGGTGTGTTCAATTTTTTGACATAGGGTGCTGGCAGATTACGGGCCTCCCATTGCTGCTGCCAGGCACGTAATCTGCCATGGGGCCCCCGTACCGACTCCTCATGCTGTGACTGTTGCAACAAGGTGGAATTCAACACTACATATGTTAGACCGCCTTTACGAACAGCGAAAGGCCATCACAGATTTCCTGATGTTAAAAGCGGATAAAGGTACTCCCTGTGTAACTTAGATGTCAGCCATTGTCAGCTCATGCGTGACACCTGCGCTTGCTCAGGCCCTTTGAGGAGGCCACGCTATTCTGGAGTCGGCAGGACTATGGGATGAACGAGGTCAAATCGGCCATGGGCCCCCGTACCGCCTGGTCACGCTGCTGCTGGTCCCACAGTGTGACCTGGGTCCCTGTACTGCCTCCCATTGCTCCCACTCTGCCATGTGCCACTTTGAGGTCTCCTCACACTCCTGCGGTTTTCCATTTTGTCATAGGTTGCTGTATGGCCTCCCATTGCTGCTGCCTCCACCGCCACACTGTGGCTCCAAACACTGGTTTTGGCCCCGTGACTGGCCAAATGAGTGAAGTGTGCGGTGATTCTAAGATCGACGGCACTCATCTCATCTGCATGTCATACTGACTGACAGTATTATTTCTCTTCCCCAGCAGACTCCAAGGGCATTTAAATTAAAGGTACAGTGTTCTGCACTAATATTAAGTCTCTCTGAAGCCTAGAAACACCCTTTTTTAAGTTAAATTCACAGCGAATTTATTCGACTCGAATCAAATATTGTCCACGAATTCGCCGAATCAGTCGAATCGAATTTTTCAATTCTTCGCTCATCTCTAATTGACATATATTTGAAATACTACAATTTTGCCCGTATTCAATATATTAAAAAAAATATTTATATATATATATATATATATATATATATATATATATTACAAAACATATGAAAAATATTTTTTAAAATATATATTTTTTAAATATATTCTTCAGATTTTTTTGCATACAAAAAGTCATTTTAACATATATTTTTACATATATTTGTAAATGCCTTCCAAAAATGTAGATTAAATGTATTTTTAAAGACATACAGTATGTTTGAAAATGGACTGGTCATACATTATACAATTTTCTTGAGAATTTTGCTTTAGATTTACCAAAAACCATATAATAGGAGGTCAAACCTAAACATTTTTAACTGTATTCAATTAGGCAGGCTCTTGCGCTACATAGTTGAAGGTAAATCTAAAGGAAATTGGACAGAAATTTGTAAGAAAATTGTATAGTGCATGGCCAGAATTGGAATTCACAACCACTAGCACCAGCCAAACTCACCAGCTAAGCAGCTTTTCAGAGGCAGACCTCAGTTCTTAGTAATTTTTATGTGGGTTGGTGAAGCGCGGCACTCTTTCTGAGATCTAATTATAACACGCTGTATTCCTATGGGAGTGTGATTAGTGAGGGCGATTGACAATATATTTATTTATTTATCGTTGTATACATAACAGCTCACAGGATCCACTGTATTAATTGTTTACACCCACAACTACCCACCTTGCACCACCAATACATGGAGGGCTCCCCTCCATCCCACATGGAAGAAAAATACTTTTGAAATATATTTTAAAAATATTCGTCCCAAATATATTGACATACTACAATTTTGGCCGTATTCAATACATTTAAAAAAAAAAAAAAAAAAAAAAAAAATAAATATATATATATATATATATATATATATAAAACAAAACATATGAAAAATATTTTTAAAAATATAGTTTTTTAAAATATATATTCTTCAGATTTTTTTGTAACATACATAAAAGTCATTTTAACATATATTTTTACATATACTTGTAAATGCATTCCAAAAATGTAGATTAAATGTATTTTTAAAGACATACAGTATATTTGAAAATGTACTGGTCATACATTATAGAATTTTCTTGAGAATTTTACTTTTGATTTACCAAAAACCATATAATAGGAGGTCAAACCTAAACATATTTTCAATTGTATTCAATTAGGCGGGCCCATGCTCTAGATAGTTGAAGGGAAATCTAAAGAAAATTGGGCAAAAATTGGACAGAAATTTGTAAGAAAATTGTATAGTGCATGGCCAGCCTTATGCAGGCCGTAGACGGGTCGAACATTGGCCGATTGGTCGGCCGAAAAAAATATCGGCCGATTTTCACACCGTTAGTGGGTTAATTGGTCAGCCGTTTTTCTGGGTTTTGGCACATTTTTTTTTATCGGTAAAGTTGGAAAATTTGCGGCCGATTTTGACGATCGGCCGATTTTCCCGGCAATAATGGGCAAATCAGCCGATTGTTTTACCGATAAAAAAATCTGCACATGAGCCGTGACCTGCAAGAAGAACAAGAAGAAAAAGAAAGAGAAGAATAAGAAAGAGAAGAATAAGAAAAAAAGAAGAAGATGAAAAAGAAGAAGAAGAAGAAGAAGAGAAGAGAAGAAGAAGAAGAAGAAGAAAAAGAAGAAGAGAAAAAAAGAAAAAAAGAAGAAGAAGAAAAATAAGAGGAAGAAGAAGAAGAAGAAAAAGAAGAAAAAAAAAGAAAAAAAGAAGAAGAAGAAGAAAAAGAAGAAGAAAAAGAGGAAGAAAAAGAAGAGAAAAAATGAGAAGAATCAGAAAAAGAAGAATTCCAGTCTGCTATTATATTTTATATGAAAAGTCTTGCGGTTGCAACAATGTACCTATTTGTATCCGAATAAAACCATCTGTATCCGAAATGGATACAAATGGATACATTGTTGCAACCGCAAATCTTTTTCATGTCAAATATAATAGCGGAGCTCTCTGCAGGAAAAGAAGTAATTAAATTACGGCAGTAGACGGGACAAAAATCTGGCAATTTTTTACCGTTGGTGGTAACGTCGGCCTATTGAACAACCGATTTTCGGTTTTTTTTTTTAAAAAAACACCGGTTTTCGACCCGTCTATGGCCTGCATTATCCAGAATTGGAATTGGAATTCACAGCCACTAGCACAGCCAACTCACTGAGCCAGTTAAGCAGCTTTTCAGAGGCAGACCTCAGTTCCTTCAGTTTCATTTAAGTGATGTCATCACGCAGTAATGTTTTCTCCTCCTTTAAACTTCTTCCGCAGAAATATGAAGGACGGGCTGGAACACACCGAGGTAAGATCATGCTGGTCAGTCTCCTATTGTTCTGTTTGTGAAACTATACAGTGAGTACGGTGCAGGGGGCTCTGTATATGATGAAGATCCTGTTACCTCCTCCTCCTGCTGTGTGACATTGGGGTCGATTTACTAAAGGATGTTCTCTTGGCAATGTGAATGTTCACTCAATGAATGAGGTGTCACTGAAGGAAAAACTAATTTCACAATAACCAATCACATGCAAGAAAAATTCAAACAGGACTTTTCTACATGCGAATGGATGGTCAAGCACGGCTAGATCTCATACACTTCCGCTCAGGGGCGGACTGACAATTCATGGGGCCCCCGGGCAATAGTGGATCATGGGGCCCCTGTGTGCTCCCCCACACACTCAAACCACACCCAAAAAAAGCCTCTGAAAGGTACCAGGGGCATCTCATGGGGTCCCCTACTGACCCCGGGTCCTCAGGCAGTGCCCAAGTGCCCGAATGGTCAGTCCGCCCCTGGTTCCGCTTCTCTAGTAAATAACCCAAAAAGTGCTCAGCAGATCCAGATAACAACACATGACTAATGCAGACCATACATGGTTCAAATTCCGAATGATTTTTCATCCAAAAAACAAAAATGTCGTTCTGTAATCCCATGGTGCCACCAATGATTTTGAAAATCGGTCGTTTGTCACGAATTTTCCAGCATGCTCAATAAACAAAATGTGGAGGAACAACTAAAATCGGCCAATGCCATTGCCCCACTAACAGAGCGAAAATCGGCCGATTATTCTTAGGTCCGATTTACGTACAAAAATCATTCGGAATTCGAACCATGTATGGCCTGCATAGGTGCTTATTTAGTTATTGCACATCTAGTTCATTTTTCAAGAAAGGCCTTCGCGTGATTTAGGCTGTCCATACACCATAACATTTTCTGTCCAATTTCTGCCCAATTTCCTTTAGATTTACCTTCAACTACAGTTGCAAGAAAAAGTATGTGAACCCCTTGGGATTACGTGGAGTTTTGCCTGAATTGGGCATAAAATGTGCTCTGAACGTCATCTAAGTCACAACAATAGAAGAACACAGTCTGCTGAACATAATACTACACAAACATTAGATGTTGCCATGGTTTAATTGCACATAACATGTAAACATTCACAGTGCAGGGAGGAAAAAGTATGTGAGGCCCTAGCTTAGTGACTTCTCCCAGAGCTAATTGGAGCCAGGAGTGAGCCAACCTTGACTCCAATCAGTGTGATGATATTGGATGTGTTGCTGACAGCTGTCCTGCCCTAAAAAAAAACACACACCTGTTTTGGGTTTACTGGTTTCAAGAAGCACTGTCTGATGTGAACCATGCCTCGCAGAAAAGAGCTCTCTGAAGACCTACCATCAAGAATTGTTGACTTGCATGAAGCTGGAAAGGGTTACAAAAGTATCTCCAAAAGCCTTGATGTTCATGTGTCCACGGTAAGACAGACTGTCTACAAATGGAGAAAGTTTAGCACTGTTGCTACTCTCCCTAGGCGTGGTCATCCTGTAAAAATGACTGCAAGAGCACAGCGCAGAATGCTGCATGAGGTAAAGAAGAATCCCAGAGTGTCAGCTAAAGACCTACAGAAATCTCTGGCACATGCTAACATTTTTGTTGACACATCTACTATAAGGAAAACATTAAACAAGAATGGAGTACATGGGAGGACACCACGGAGGAAGCCATTGCTGTCCAAAAAGAATATTGCAGCACGTTTGAAGTTTGCAAAAGAGCACCTGGATGTGTCCACAGCACTACTGGCAGAATATACTGTGGACAGATGAAACCAAGATTGAGTTGTTTGGGAAGAACACACAACACTATGTGTGGAGAAAAAAAGGCCCAGCACACCAACATCAAAACCTCATCCCCACTGTGAAACATGGCGGAGGGGAGCATCATGGTTTGGGGCTGTTTTGCTGCCTCAGGGCCTGGACAGATTGTTGTCATTGATGGGAAAATGAATTCCAGAGTTTATCAAGACATTTTGCAGGAAAACGTACGACCATCTGTCCGCCAACTGAAGCTCTGCAGAGGCTGGGTGATACAACAGGACAATGACCCAAAGTATACAAGTCATTCAACAAAACAATGGCTGCAACAGCACAGAATACGCCTTCTGGAGTGGCCCAGTCAGAGTCCTGACCTCAACCCGATTGAAATGCTGTGGCATGACCTTAAGAGAGCGATTCACACCAGACATCCCAAGAATATTGCTACACTGAAACAGTTTTGTGAAGAGGAGTGGTCCAAAATGACTCCAGATCGTTGTGCAGGTCTGATCTGCAACTACAGGAAACGTTTGGTTGAGGTTATTGCTGCCAAAGGAGGGTCAACCAGTTATTAAGTCCAAAGGTTCACATACTTTTTTTCCTCCCTGCACTGTGAATGTTTACATGTTATGTGCAATTAAACCATCAACATCTAATGTTTGTGTAGTATTATGTTCAGCAGACTGTGTTCTTCTATTGTTGTGACTTAGATGACGTTCAGAGCACATTTTATGCCCAATTCATGCAAAACTCCACGTAATCCCAAGGGGTTCACATACTTTTTCTTGCAACTGTATGTAGTGCAAGAGTCTGCCTAATTGGATACAGTTGAGAGTGTTGTTAGTTCTGACCTCCTATTATATGGTTTTTGGTAAATCTAAACCAAAAAGCTCAAGAAAATTGTATAATGTATGGCCAGCCTTAATCCCACCTTTCAGTCCAAACTGTACCGATACACAGGGGTTTACCAAGATTACATGGGGTATAGCAGTGTTTCTCAACCTTTTTTCAGTCAAGGCACCCTTCAAAATTATGGACAGTCTTGAGGCACTCCATTCTGAAATGGGGTGTCCTTTAGACTGTCCATAATTTTAACCACTTCCCCTCTGGCCAAAGTAGAAAAACAGCCGGAAGGGAGGTCTGCCGGAGCGGGTTGACATTTCTAAACGTCCCCTCGCATCCATTGCCTGTGTGCGCTCCCTGGGAGCACTCAGCACCATGATCGGTGCCCGCTGTGAAACACAGATCACTGTACAGCACCTTTGTGTGCGGTCCCAATCATGTGATCAGATTGGCCAATCAGTGATCACATGAATAGGAGTAAGCAAGATGTCACTTCCTGACATTGCTTACTACTTGTGAAATCTGTGAATGATCACAGAGGTCACATGGTACAGGGCCATTCACAACAGCCTTGTACCATGTGACAAGCTGTGACCAATCACAACTCACACAGTATTTCCAATGGCTGCAAGAATGCAGCCAGAGAGAAGGAAAAATGATTGCTTTTACAGCCTTTATGGGTGTAAAAGCAATCAGTGTAAAAAAAAAACGTAAGTAATTAATAACCTTCCTCACCCCCCACAAGTAGTACAGTGTCACCATGGTGACACTGTACTGCTAGGGTGACAGTATGTTAAAAAAACAACAAAAAAAAAAAAATAAATAATAATATAAAAAAATAAAATAAAAATGTAAACAAAATTTTGAAAAATTATAATTTTTGGTTATAAACTTATTTGGGTTCATTTTTTTTTTACTAAAAAGATAACTGAATACATTTTGGCCAAGATTTATGAAGAAGGATTATTTATTTGCAAAATTTTATAAGGAAAACACTTTTTTTTCTAAATATTTGGACTTTTTCATTTAGATAGCAAAAAAAAAATAAAAATCCCAGTGGTGAATAAATACCACCAAAATAAAGCTTTATCTGTCTCAAAAAAATGCTAAAACATTAATATAGGTACAGTGTTGCATGACCGCGCAATTGTCATTCAAAGTGTGATAGCGCTGAAAGCTGAAAATTGGCCTGGGCAGGAAGGGGGGGAAAGTGTCCGGAAACTGGAAGGGGGTGGTCTTCTTATTCTTCTTCTTCTTCTTTTCTTCTTTTCTTCTTATTCTTCTTCCTCATTCCTCATCTCATCCTCTTATTTGACGGATGTGGATGAGTGTTCGGACTGGAAGGGGGTAAAAGTGTCCGGACTGGAAGGGGGTGAAAGTGACGGACTGGAAGGGGGGGAAAGTGTCCGGACTGGAAGGGGGTGAAAGTGTCCGGACTGGAAGGGGGGGGAAAGTGTCCGGACTGGAAGGGGGGGAAAGTGTCCGGACTGGAAGGGGGGAAAGTGTCCGGACTGGAAGGGGGGGTGAAAGTGTCCGGACTGGAAGGGGGGGAAAGTGTCCGGACTGGAAGGGGGGTGAAAGTGTCCGGACTGGAAGGGGGGGAAAGTGTCCGGACTGGAAGGGGGTGAAAGTGTCCGGACTGGAAAGGGGGGTGTCCGGACTGGAAGTAAAAGTGTCCGGACTGGAAGGGGGGAAAGTGTCCGGACTGGAAGGGGGTGAAAGTGTCCGGACTGGAAGGGGGGTGAAAGTGTCCGGACTGGAAGGGGGGGGGGGGGAAAGTGTCCGGACTGGAAGGGGGTGAAAGTGTCCGGACTGGAAGGGGGTGAAAGTGTCCGGACTGGAAGGGGGGAAAGTATCCGGACTGGAAGGGGGGGTAAAAGTGTCCGGACTGGAAGGGGTGAAAGTGTCCGGACTGGAAGGGGGTAAAATATATCGGTCTTTGGCTAGCCATACACATGTAGATTCTCTTGTTCAACCCTATGGGCTGTGAGAAATCACTTGATGCCCCCGTCCTGGTGGATGGAAGATTGTTCCCTGTAACTATTGTACAGAGACAGTCACAACACATTCAGATGTCGGAATACCCAAACTGTGACTGCAAAAACCATATTTTTCGGATACAGCGGGAAGGGTTAGAACCAGGGGCAGACTGACCATTTGGAAAATCGGGCACTGCCTGAGGCCCCGGGGTCAGTAGGGGTCCCCATGAGATGCCCCTGGTACCTTTTTCATAGGCTTTTTTGAGTTTGGGCAAGGACACAGGGGCCCCATGATCCCCTATTGCCCAGGGGCCCCATGAGTTGTCAGTCCACCCCTGGTTAGAACATTGCTGAGGTTTCTTGTTGTTGTGTTGATGACCTTTCCTCCATTTCCTTTTGGATTCACAAAGACGTCACCAAGACACAAAGTGGAAATTTCTATCGTGGAATCACAGACAGAAATGAAAAGAAAACCTGACAGAGGTTCTAACTCTTCTCACAATAAAAAAAAAGAAAAATCTGACTGGAGCTGAGCTTCAAAATACTACAACCAACAAAGTGAAGTTGTGGTCACTCCAATCATCCAATCTTTGTACAATGCAATTTTTACACATTACCTACACATGATTGGGCATTCAAAGTGAACACAACTTCATTTTCCTAAGTGAACATTGTAACGGAACCGGACCCCGACTGCACTTAGGTATTTCCGTTAGACTCCCAATTCCCTGTCGGAACACAGATCCACGGACACCACTCTTAAACAAAACCAGGAAATAGACTACTTTATTTTAACACAGACACAAGATACAGGTGAAACTCAAAAAATGAGAATATTGTGCAAAAGTTCATTTATTTCAGTGCAGCAACTTAAAAGGTGAAACTAATATATGAGATAGACTCATTACATGCAAAGCAAGATAGTTCAAGCCGTGATTTGTCATCATTGTGATGATTATGGCTTACAGCTCATGAAAACCCCAAATCCACAATCTCAGAAAATGAGAATATTGTGAAAAGGTGGAATAATCTCGGCTCAAAGTGTCCCACTCTAATCAGCTAATTAAGCCATAACACCTGCAAAGGGTTCCTGAGCCTTTAAATGGTCTCTCAGTCTGGTTCAGTAGGAATCACAATCATGGGAAAGACTGCTGACCTGACACCATCATTGACACCCTCCATAAGGAGGGAAAGCCTCAAAAGGTAATTGCAGAAGAAGTTGGATGTTCCCAAAGTGCTGTATCAAAGCACATTAATAGAAAGTTATGTGGAAGGGAAAAGTGTGGAAGAAAAAGGTGCACAAGCAGCAGGGATGACCGCAGCCTGGAGAGGATTGTCAGGAAAAGGCCATTCAAAAGTGTTGGGGACTTTCACAAGGAGTGGACTAAGGCTGGAGTCCGTGCATCAAGAGCCACCACACACAGACGGATCCTGGACATGGGCTTCAAATGTCGTATTCCTCTTGTCAAGCCGCTCCTGAACAACAAACAAGGTCAGATGCGTCTTACCTAGGCTAAAGAAAAACAGACCTGGTCTGACCTCAGTGGTCCAAAGTCCTCTTTTCTGATGAGAGCCACTTTTGCATCTCATTTGGACACCAAGGACCCCGAGTATGGAGGAAGAATGGAGAGGCCCAAGGACCCCGAGTATGGAGGAAGAATGGAGAGGCCCAAGGACCCTGAGTATGGAGGAAGAATGGAAAGGCCCAAGGACCCTGAGTATGGAGGAAGAATGGAGAGGCCCAAGGACCCCGAGTATGGAGGAAGAATGGAGAGGCCCAAGGACCCCGAGTATGGAGGAAGGAGAGCCCAAGGACCCCGAGTATGGAGAAGAATGGAGAAGCAAGGACCCCCGAGTATGGAGGAAGAATGGAGAAGCCCAAGGACCCGAGAGTATGGAGGAAGAATGGAGAGCACAAAGACCCCGAGTATGGAGGAAAAATGGAGAAGCACAAAACCCCGAGTATGGAGGAAAAATGGAGAGGCACAAGGACCCCGAGTATGGAGGAAGAATGGAGAGGCCCAAGGACCCCGAGTATGGAGGAAGAATGGAGAGGCCCAAGGACCCCGAGTATGGAGGAAAAATGGAGAAGCACAAGGACCCCGAGTATGGAGGAAGAATGGAGAGGCCCAAGACCCCGAGTATGGAGGAAGAATGGAGAAGCACAAAAACCCCGAGTATGGAGGAAAAATGGAGAGGCACAAGGACCCGAGTATGGAGGAAGAATGGAGAGGCCCAAGGACCCAGAGTATGGAGGAAGAATGGAGGGGCACAAGGACCCCGAGTATGGAGGAAGAATGGAGAGGCACACACTGCAAGATGCTTGAAGTCCAGTGTGAAGTTTCCACAGTCTGTGTTGATTTGGGGAGCCATGTCATCTGCTGGTGTTGGCCCACTGTGCTTCATTAAGTCCAGGGTTTCAACGCAGCCATCTACCAGGAGATTTTGGAGCACTTCATGCTTCCTTCCGCAGATGAGCTTTATGGGGATGCTGACTTCATTTTCCAGCAGGACTTGGCACCTCCCACACTGCCAAAAGCACCAAAACCTGGTTCAATGACCGTGGGATTACTGTGCTTGATTGGCCAGCAAACTCGCCTGACCTGAACCCCATAGAAAATCTATGGGGCATTGCCAAGAGAACGATGAGAGATATGAGACCGAACAATGCAGAAGAGCTGAAGGCCGCTATTGAAGCATCCTGGTCTTCCATAACACCTCAGCAGTGCCACAGGCTGATAGCTTCCATGCCACGCTGCATTGAGGTAGTAATTGCTGCAAAAGGGGCCCACACCAAGTACATATGCATGCTCTATGTACAATCCTTGTTCTATGTACAATCCTTGTTTTATTGATTGCATGTAATATTCTCATTTTCTGAGATTGTGGATTTGGGGTTTTCATGAGCTGTAAGCCATAATCATCACAATGATGACAAATCACGGCTTGAACTATCTTGCTTTGCATGTAATGAGTCTATCTCATATATTAGTTTAACCTTTTAAGTTGCTGCACTGAAATAAATGAACTTTTGCACGGTATTCTAATTTTTCGAGTTTCACCTGTATATACATTCAAGGGAACAATTCCCCCTCCCTGCATAAGGACACAGGGCGAGGCAAATTAAATCCAGCAACAAGAAACACATCAGCAGGCAGTCCCAACAGGGGGAAGGGCTGCCGGAAACACCCCCCACCAAGCCAATACACAAACACACACATCCCATAATAGTTTGCTCCCAAGCAAGACACACAATAGAACAATGGGATACAGCCACATGGCACTAAACAATCAACAACCCCCCACCCCAACTATACATGTCTACATATCAGAACATCTCACCCTGCACCCCTAACAAGCACAGGGTAACATACACATAAGAGGGATATGGGGAGCTGAGAAAGGGGTCTCCCGACCTCTCCAAAGTGAGCTGTGTTCCATGGGCCCCCCACCCAAAGTCACTCCCATCACAAACATCATCTACTCAGCGTATTCACCCCAGTGTCTCTATAAATGTTCAATTATTTAGAAGGACTTGTAGCCTGAATATTAGCATTCTCTGAAAGAGTGGCCATCTATGGTGGTCTATGTATTTTTTCACGACAAGCCACCTCTATCACAGGAGTGAAGAGCAATCTCCAGTACTTCCAGAAATGAGGAACATGACACTCCCTCCTCTTCCTCACATGATACAGCTCTAGAACAGTGTTTCTCAACCTCTTTTTCACTTGCAACGCTCTTTAAAAGAATGCAAAATTTCGAGACACCCCAGAATCAAAAAACTAAATGTTACTTATCATTGGTAAGCCTGAGCCCAGGGCAATGCATTCAGCCATCTTGATGAAACTAACTTCACAGCAGAAGCCCTCCTTCACATCAGAGGTTCCCTCATCGCTTTAGAAGATCAACCATCACATCGGAGGTCCCCCACAATATCAGAGGTTCCCCCCCATCACAGAGCCCCCCCAATCAAACTGTCCCTATCACAGAGCCCCCTCCCCACCCATTCACACTGTCCCCATCACAGATCCTCCCAAGCACACTGTCCTTCGTGGGCAGCACAGTGGCTGAGTGGTTAGCACTTCCACCTGGCAGCACTACGGTCATTGGTTTGAATGCCAACCACGGCACCACATGCATGTGGTTTGCATGTTCTCCCTGTGCTTGTATGAGTTTCCCCTCGGTACTCTGGTTTCCTCCCACACTCCAAAGACATGCTGGTAGGTGAATTGGCTCTTGTCTAAATTGGCCCCAGTATGTGTATGTATGAATGTGAGTTAGGGATCTTAGAATGTACGCTTCTTGAGGGTTAGGGACTGATGTGAATGTACAATATATATGTAAAGCCCTGTCTTAATTGTTGGCACTATATCAGAACCCGTAATAAAATAAATAACGGAACCCCCCCAATCACACTGTCCCCCATCACAGAGCTGCCCCCCAATCACACTGTACTCATCACAGATCCTCCCAGCCATAGAGCTCACTATACACATAGGAATCCAACCATTTTTTGTGTGCAGGAGGAGATCTGGAGGAGGCAAGCTTCCATCTTCTCCTGAATGCTGGGAGTGGTCCTGCATGCCACCTGTCCTGGATCAG